TGGGCCTTTCTGGTTCTCAACGGCAGGTGCAAGAGCGACTCACTGTGTGGCATGTATTCCCAGGGGTTTCTCCATGTTGGGGTGATTCATGCACATACGTGAGTGGGCCTCTGCAGCTGGCGTGTTGCGGCAGGCCAATTGTGTCATTGCCATGATAGTTCTTGAGCGCGTGGCGGCGGCCGGCCTGATGGTCAGCGTGCACCAGTGTGCACTCCTGTGCAGCTTCCCTGGCACCAGGGGCCCTCCTCCTGGGCGCAGGAGGGGATTTGTAAAAGCTGGCTGTTGGGCAGTCCCTGTAACAGGAGCCCAACTCCACTGGCCTTAGAGAGCAGACACAGCTGGGTGGGGCCTGCAGCAACCCCAGCGTTCTCGGAGTTTGAGGCAGGCGGATCGCAAGTTGGAGTTCAAAAATAAGAAAAGGCTAGGGATGCAGTTTCGTGCCAAAGCCATGGGTTCAATCCCCAGTCTCTCTCTCTCTCTCTCTCTCTCTCTCTCTCTCTCACACACACACACACACACACACACACACACACAGGCCAGACACTTACTTTTCCGCCTTAAGAGGCAGGCCCGTGACGTCACTGGACCCGCGCTCTGCCTTCCACTCGGCCTGCGCCCCCCAGTGTGGCTTTCCTCCTGTCCGCAAGGGGTCTGCTGAGCCTCCAGCCGGCAAGGGTGAAGGGAAAAACAATGTAGCCAGTTCGGTCTTTTAAAATGACTTCTTGGGGACCCCAAGCGGCACCCCTTGTTCACACCTTCCCTGAGGGGCTGCCCTGGCTGCTCGGGTGTGGACGCAGCAGCCGTTCAGCTGGGCGCGCTGCTCGCCAGAGCAGTGTCTGGGTCCTGTGAGGAAGGACGGTGAGGAAGCCGCCAAGGAGAGGAGAGGAATAGAAACATCGATAGACAAGGCATTTCTTCCTCTCCATAACACAGACATGTTAAACAGCGGAGGACAGAACAGAGGCTGGGGATGCAGCGCAGGGTACACAGCTGCCGAGCACGCGGGACTGTGGGCTTGGGGCCCAGCACTGCCGCGAGCAAGCAGACGTTTCTGCCTACACTCATTTTCAAGTGCTACTTATTTATCCACAAGTCAGTCCATAGTCTGAGATTCTTTCCTGATGTTATACAATGGGTGAAGCGTCAGTCAAAACTTCTTCATTACAACATAGAATTCCTTGTTTGTTTTCTTGCGCTATAGCGTAGCCTGGCATTGAATGCATTGTGTAGCGCAGACTAGCTTTGAATTTGTGGCAATCTTCCTGCCTCAGCCTCCCAAGTGCTAGGATTACAGGCGTGCACCACAACATCCAGGTTCCCCCCTCCAAAAAAAGAGATTTTTATTGGTACAGTTTAGGTATAATGATCACATGCATCATTGGGAATTTGTATCTGTACATGATATATGTAACTTCTTTTTTTCCCATCCCCCTACCCCTCCCTTCAACCCCTCTTCCTCTCATTTACAAAACCTTTATCTTTCTCATTTTTTTCCTTTTCCCTTCCTTTCTTTCCCCTTCTCCCTCTTTTTCCCCCCTCCCCATTTGAACATTTTCTTCCTATTTTACAATACCTATTTTACATTTTGGTCCTTATTTATACTTTTGGTTTCCCACACCAGAGAAACAATGTGGTATTTACTCATGTGTATGCGGTGTATTTTACTTAAGAGTATGGTCTCAAAGAGAGCACCCAGCTTAAAAAAATCTATTTTTAAAAAAGCCTACCCATCACACTTCTTTATTACAAACACTGGATTGTTAGCAGACACAGTATACCTTGTTTTAAAATTTAAACCTGAAAGCTAAAATTACAGGGACGATTGAAGTTCACGTGTGTTAGCTTTCACTGTGTACAGCCCAAACGTCCGAGTCAGCTTACAAAGAGAAAAGGTTTATTTCGCCCCGCTTCGCAGGATCCACGATCGCCTGGCCCTGTATGATCAGGAAGGCAGCGGCGACCCAGCAAAGCAGCTCTCGGGCCGGGGAGCACGGGGTATCAAGGGCAGGAGCCCCGCCACCCGGAGCCGTCCGAGGCGCAGGCCTCGAGGCCCACGACCTCCTGACCGCGGCGCCCCGGGG